CTCCCGGCCACGTAGTTTTACCCGGGCCCGTTCACCATCATGAAGGTCCTTAATGATCGTGAACAGAGGGTCAGGGACTCCAAAAGCACAAAGAACAACCCAGAGCCCAGGCCTACTGATGGTATCATAGGCCTTGACCAGGTCAATAAAGCAGAGATGTAGGTCTTGCTGGAATTCCCTACACCTCTGCTGTGGCAGACGGACAGAAAATATGGCATCTGTGCAGGACCGCCCTTTCCTGAAACCGCATTGGGGCTCCGCAAGCCTCTCCTCAGCGTGCCTGGCAAGGCGATGTTGAATAATCCTTGCCAGGACCTTTCCCGGCACACTGAGGAGTGAGATGCCCCTGTAGTTGTTACATTCTGTGCAGTCCCCCTTCTTACATACACACACACACATACAGCCTGTGTCTCACCGCTCCTCCTCGTGTCTCCCCGTGTCTCCCCGTGTCTCCCTGTGTCTCACCACTCCTCCTCGTGTCTCCCCGTGTCTCCCCGTGTCTCCCTGTGTCTCCCCGTGTCTCACGGCTTCTCCCCGTGTCTCCCCGTGTCTCACCGTGTCTCCCCGTGTCTCCCCGTGTCTCCCAGCGTCTCTCAGTGTCTCTCAGTGTCTCCCCGTGTCTCCCCGTGTCTCACTACACCTCCCCGTGTCTCCCCGTGTCTCCCCGTGTCTCACCGTGTCTCCCCGTGTCTCCCCGTGTCTCCCAGCGTCTCTCAGTGTCTCTCAGTGTCTCCCCGTGTCTCCCCGTGTCTCACTACACCTCCCCGTGTCTCCCCGTGTCTCCCCGTGTCTCTCCCCGTGTCTCCCCGTGTCTCCCCGTGTCTCCCCGTGTCTCCCTGTGTCTCACCGCTCCTCCTCGTGTCTCCCCGTGTCTCCCCGTGTCTCCCTGTGTCTCCCCGTGTCTCACGGCTCCTCCCCGTGTCTCCCCGTGTCTCACCGTGTCTCCCCGTGTCTCCCCGTGTCTCCCAGCGTCTCTCAGTGTCTCTCAGTGTCTCCCCGTGTCTCCCCGTGTCTCACTACACCTCCCCGTGTCTCCCCGTGTCTCCCCGTGTCTCACCGTGTCTCCCCGTGTCTCCCCGTGTCTCCCAGCGTCTCTCAGTGTCTCTCAGTGTCTCCCCGTGTCTCCCCGTGTCTCACTACACCTCCCCGTGTCTCCCCGTGTCTCCCCGTGTCTCTCCCCGTGTCTCCCCCTGTCTCCCCGTGTCTCCCTGTGTCTCACTGCTCTTCCCCGTGTCTCTCCCCCGTGTCTCCCTGTGTCTCCCCGTGTCTCACTGCTCCTGCCCGTGTCTCTTCCCCGTGTCTCCCCGTGTCTCCCCGTGTCTCCCCGTGTCTCACTACACCTCCCCGTGTCTCCCCATGTCTCCCCGTGTGTCCCCATGTCTCCCCGTGTCTCACTGCTCCTGCCCGTGTCTCTCCCCCGTGTGGGTGCAAGGTGCTGGTGGCGTGCCAGCAGTTCCGGACGCGCGACTGTCGTGGCCTGAACATCTCCTTGTGCTGCTCCACACAGCCTGTCATCGAAGCCTCCACCGCCCTCAAGTTCGCCTGCTACCAGTTCTACTACCCGGAGCTCGCCTCCCAGTTCCGGGTGAAGTATGGCTGCCGTGGGGGGGAGGAGGGGGGGAGTGAGACACGGGGAGACACGGGGAGACACGGGGAGGTGTTGTGAGACACAGGGAGACACGGGGAGACACGGGGAGACACGGGGAGGTGTTGTGAGACACGGGGAGACACGGGGAGACACGGGGAGGTGTTGTGAGACACGGGGAGACACAGGGAGGTGTAGTGAGACACGGGGAGGTGTAGTGAGACACGGGGAGGTGTCGTGAGACACGGGGAGACACAGGGAGACACGGGGAGGTGTAGTGAGACACGGGGAGGTGTAGTGAGACACGGGGAGGTGTCGTGAGACACGGGGAGACACAGGGAGACACGGGGAGACACGGGGAGGTGTAGTGAGACACGGGGAGAAACGGGGAGACACGGGGAGGTGTCGTGAGACACGGGGAGACACGGGGAAGTGTAGTGAGACACGGGGAGACACCGGGAGACACGGGGAGGTGTCGTGAGACACGGGGAGGTGTCGTGAGACACGGGGAGACACGGTGAGACAGACTACTACTGGTGCTGTGCGTGTGTGCACCACGTGTGTGCACCACGTGTGTGCACCACGTGTGTGCACCACGTGTGTGCACCACGTGTGTGCACCACGTGTGTGCACCACGTGTGTGCACCACGTGTGTGCACCACGTGTGTGCACCACGTGTGTGCACCACGTGTGTGCACCACGTGTGTGCACCACGTGTGTGCACCACGTGTGTGCACCACGTGTGTGCACCACGTGTGTGCACCACGTGTGTGCACCACGTGTGTGCACCACGTGTGTGCACCACGTGTGTGCACCACGTGTGTGCACCACGTGTGTGCACCACGTGTGTGCACCACGTGTGTGCACCACGTGTGTGCACCACGTGTGTGCACCACGTGTGTGCACCACGTGTGTGCACCACGTGTGTGCACCACGTGTGTGCACCACGTGTGTGCACCACGTGTGTGCACCACGTGTGTGCACCACGTGTGTGCACCACGTGTGTGCACCACGTGTGTGCACCACGTGTGTGCACCACGTGTGTGCACCACGTGTGTGCACCACGTGTGTGCACCACGTGTGTGCACCACGTGTGTGCACCACGTGTGTGCACCACGTGTGTGCACCACGTGTGTGCACCACGTGTGTGCACCACGTGTGTGCACCACGTGTGTGCACCACGTGTGTGCACCACGTGTGTGCACCACGTGTGTGCACCACGTGTGTGCACCACGTGTGTGCACCACGTGTGTGCACCACGTGTGTGCACCACGTGTGTGCACCACGTGTGTGCACCACGTGTGTGCACCACGTGTGTGCACCACGTGTGTGCACCACGTGTGTGCACCACGTGTGTGCACCACGTGTGTGCACCACGTGTGTGCACCACGTGTGTGCACCACGTGTGTGCACCACGTGTGTGCACCACGTGTGTGCACCACGTGTGTGCACCACGTGTGTGCACCACGTGTGTGCACCACGTGTGTGCACCACGTGTGTGCACCACGTGTGTGCACCACGTGTGTGCACCACGTGTGTGCACCACGTGTGTGCACCACGTGTGTGCACCACGTGTGTGCACCACGTGTGTGCACCACGTGTGTGCACCACGTGTGTGCACCACGTGTGTGCACCACGTGTGTGCACCACGTGTGTGCACCACGTGTGTGCACCACGTGTGTGCACCACGTGTGTGCACCACGTGTGTGCACCACGTGTGTGCACCACGTGTGTGCACCACGTGTGTGCACCACGTGTGTGCACCACGTGTGTGCACCACGTGTGTGCACCACGTGTGTGCACCACGTGTGTGCACCACGTGTGTGCACCACGTGTGTGCACCACGTGTGTGCACCACGTGTGTGCACCACGTGTGTAACGGGGCCCTGCCGCGACCCTTGGAATGTTGCGGCGACGCGACCGGCTGGCTGACGTCCGAGGGGCGCGTGGCAGCGCCCGGGCGACCAAACACGCAGACGCCGTGGAGCCAAATCACGTCCGGTGTGCCGTAGCACCGGCGTGTACCACACACACACACACCGGTGTACGGGCGCAGGCACAAGATGCCGACTCGGCGGGGTCCTGATAGCAATCCCCTCGCCCCACTCAACCCCTCTTGAAAGTGAACCGCGCGTGACGTTTCGGGCGATGGCCCTTCGTAAGCACGCTCACAAATTCCCGGCACACCGTGCACTGGTGCGTGCCGAAATCCGCAGGCCGTGCCGAGTCACTCCCCCAATTGTCGGACGCCGAAATAGCGAAGTTGTACTGCACAATTAGTTTATTATCAATACTAATTAGTTTATTATCAATACTAATTAGTTTATTATCAATACTAATTAGTTTATTATCATTACTAATTAGTTTATTATCAATACTAATTAGTTTATTATCAATACTAATTAGTTTATCATTAATAATTAGTTTATTATCAATACTAATTAGTTTATTATCATTACTAATTAGTTTATTATCAATACTAATTAGTTTATTATCAATACTAATTAGTTTATCATTAATAATTAGTTTATTATCAATACTAATTAGTTTATTATCAATACTAATTAGTTTATTATCATTACTAATTAGTTTATCATCAATACTAATTAGTTTATTATCAATACTAATTAGTTTATTATCATTACTAATTAGTTTATTATCAATACTAATTAGTTTATTATCATTACTAATTAGTTTATTATCATTACTAATTAGTTTATTATCATTACTAATTAGTTTATTATCAATACTAATTAGTTTATTATCATTACTAATTAGTTTATTATCATTACTAATTAGTTTATTATCATTACTAATTAGTTTATTATCAATACTAATTAGTTTATTATCATTACTAATTAGTTTATTATCATTACTAATTAGTTTATTATCATTACTAATTAGTTTATTATCAATACTAATTAGTTTATCATCAATACTAATTAGTTTATTATCATTACTAATTAGTTTATTATCATTAATAATTAGTTTATTATCAATACTAATTAGTTTATTATCATTACTAATTAGTTTATTATCATTACTAATTAGTTTATTATCATTAATAATTAGTATATTATCAATACTAATTAGTTTATTATCATTACTAATTAGTTTATTATCATTAATAATTAGTTTATTATCATTACTAATTAGTTTATTATCATTACTAATTAGTTCATTATCAATACTAATTAGTTTATTATCATTACTAATTAGTTTATTATCATTACTAATTAGTTCATTATCAATAGTAATTAGTTTATTATCATTACTAATTCGTTTATTATCAATACTAATTAGTTTATTATCATTACTAATTAGTTTATTATCAATACTAATTAGTTTATTATCATTACTAATTAGTTTATTATCAATACTAATTAGTTTATTATCAATAATAATTAGTTTATTATCATTACTAATTAGTTTATTATCAATACTAATTAGTTTATTATCATTACTAATTAGTTTATTATCATTAATAATTAGTTTATTATCATTACTAATTAGTATATTATCAATACTAATTAGTTTATTATCAATACTAATTAGTTTATTATCAATACTAATTAGTTTATTATCATTACTAATTTGTTTATTATTATTACTAATTAGTTTATTATCAATACTAATTAGTTTATTATCATTACTAATTAGTTTATTATCAATACTAATTAGTTTATTATCAATACTAATGAGTTTATTATCATTACTAATTAGTTTATTATCATTACTAATTAGTTTATTATCATTACTAATTAGTTGATTATCATTACTAATGAGTTTATTATCAATACTAATTAGTTTATTATCAATACTAATTAGTTTATTATCATTACTAATTAGTTTATTATCATTACTAATTAGTTTATTATCATTACTAATTAGTTTATCATCAATACTAATTCGTTTATTATCAATACTAATTAGTTTATCATCAATACTAATTAGTTTATTATCATTACTAATTAGTTTATTATCATTACTAATTAGTATATTATCAATACTAATTAGTTTATTATCAATACTGATTAGTTTATTCTCATTACTAATTAGTTTATCATCAATACTAATTAGTTTATTATCAATACTAATTAGTTTATTATCATTACTAATTAGTTTATCATCAATACTAATTAGTTTATTATCAATACTAATTAGTTTATTATCATTAATAATTAGTTTATTATCATTACTAATTAGTTTATTATCAATACTAATTAGTTTATTATCAATACTAATTAGTTTATTATCAATACTAATTAGTTTATTATCAATACTAATTAGTTTATTATCATTAATAATTAGTTTATTATCATTACTAATTAGTTTATTATCAATACTAATTAGTTTATTATCATTACTAATTAGTTTATCATCAATACTAATTAGTTTATTATCATTACTAATTAGTTTATCATCAATACTAATTAGTTTATTATCAATACTAATTAGTTTATCATCAATACTAATTAGTTTATTATCATTACTAATTAGTTTATCATCAATACTGATTAGTTTATTATCATTACTAATTAGTTTATTATCATTACTAATTAGTTTATCATCAATACTAATTAGTTTATTATCAATACTAATTAGTTTATTATCAATACTAATTAGTTTATTATCAATACTAATTAGTTTATTATCATTAATAATTAGTTTATTATCATTACTAATTAGTTTATTATCAATACTAATTAGTTTATTATCATTACTAATTAGTTTATCATCAATACTAATTAGTTTATTATCATTACTAATTAGTTTATTATCAATACTAATTAGTTTATTATCAATACTAATGAGTTTATCATCAATACTAATTAGTTTATTATCAATACTAATTAGTTTATTATCAATACTAATGAGTTTATCATCAATACTAATTAGTTTATTATCAATACTAATTAGTTTATCATCAATACTGATTAGTCCATCGTTTGTGCCGCGCAGGACGCCGAGCTGAGCATCTTCAACAACCAGTGGAGCGGCGTTCACGACTTCACCCCGGTGCCGGGCGAGCGAAACTTCTCCCTAACGGCGGACTCCGGCTTCGTCCGCGACCTCCTCCTCCCCACCGCCGCCACCGGCAGCACCGGCAGCACCGGCACCGGCACCGGCACCGGCACCGGCAAGGACCTCCCGGCGGCCTCGCCGGGCGGGCTCGCTGGGGTTGAGGCGGTGGAGTCGGGCCAGTGGGCGGCCGAGCAGTGGAGCGCCGTGCTGCGGGTGAGGGTCTCGGCGACGCGCAGCGTCGTGCCGGCCACGCTGGGGGCGGCGAGGAGGCGGCACAGCGACGAGTCGGCGCTCGTCGTCTTCTTCGCAGACGACTACGCCAAGGCCAACGCTCGCAAGCTCATCGACGAGGTGTGGCGGTGGCGGTGGCGGTGGGGGCGGTGGCCGGGGGGGAGGATCACTCGGAGAGTCACACACTCAGAGACTCACGCACAGAGACACACACACACAGAGACACACACACAGAGACTCACGCACAGACTCACACAGAGACTCAGAGACTCACTCAGACAGAGACTCACACAGAGACACACAGACTCACACAGAGACTCATGCAGAGACTCACTCAGAGACTCACTCAGAGACTCACTCAGACAGAGACTCACACAGAGACTCACAGACTCACACAGAGACTCACGCACAGACTCACACAGAGACTCAGAGACTCACTCAGAGACTCACGCAGAGACTCACACAGAGACTCACACACACAGAGACTCACACAGAGACTCACACAGAGACTCACAGACTCACACAGAGACTCACACACACAGAGACACACACACACAGAGACTCACTCAGAGACTCACAGACTCACACAGAGACTCACACACACAGAGACACAAACAGAGACTCACAGACTCACTCACACAGAGACTCACGCACAGACTCACAGACACACACAGAGACTCACACAGAGACTCACACAGAGACTCACACACACAGAGACTCACGCACAGACTCACACAGAGACTCACTCAGAGACTCACAGACTCACAGAGACACACACAGAGACTCACTCAGAGACTCACACAGAGACTCACACAGAGACTCACACAGAGACTCACACACACACACAGAGACTCACACAGAGACTCACACAGATACTCACACAGAGACTCACAGACTCACGCAGAGACTCATTCAGAGACTCACTCAGAGACTCACACAGAGACTCACTCACTCAGAGACTCACGCAGAGACTCACACACACAGAGACTCACTCAGAGACTCACACACACAGAGACTCGCAGAGAGACTCACTCAGAGACTCACTCAGAGACTCACTCACGCAGAGACTCACGCAGAGACTCGAACAGAGACTCACTCAGAGACTCACACAGAGACTCACACAAAGACTGACACAGAGACTCACACAGAGACTTGGACAGAGACTCGCACAGAGACTCACACAGAGACCCACCGACTCGCACCACTGCTAGACTCACCACTGCTACTCACCACTGCTAGACTCACTACAGTTAGACCCTCCCCTCACCACTGCTAGACTCACCACCGCTAGACTCACCACTCACCACCGCTAGACCACTCACCACCACTCACCACTCACCACTAGACTCACCACTTACCACCGCTAGACTCACCACTCACCACTGCTAGACTCACCAATCACCACTCACCACCGCTAGACTCACCGCTCACCACCACTCACCACTCACCACCACTCACCACTAGACTCACCACTCACCACCGCTAGACTCACCACTCAACACTCACCACAACTAGACTCACCACTCACCACTAGACTCACCACTCACCACTCACCACCACTCACCACTCACCACCACTAGACTCACCACCACTCACCACTCACCACTAGACTCACCACTCACCACCCACCACTAGACTCACCACTCACCACCACTAGACTCACCACTCACCACTCACCACCACTAGACTCACCACTCACCACTAGACTCACCACTCACCACTAGGCTCACCACTCACCACCACTCACCACCACTCACCACCACTCACCACTCACCACCACTCACCACTCACCACCACTCACCACTCACCACTAGACTCACCACTACACTCACCACTCACCACCACTAGACTCACCACTCACCACCAATCACCACCACTCACCACCACTCACCACTCACCACCACTAGACTCACCACTAGACTCACCACTAGACTCACCATACACCACTCACCACCACTCACCACTAGACTCACCACTCACCACTAGACTCACCACCACTCACCACCACTCACCACTCACCACCACTAGACTCACCACCACTCACCACTCACCACCACTCACCACCACTCACCACTCACCACCACTAGACTCACCACTCACCACCACTCACCACTCACCACCACTAGACTCACCACTAGACTCACCACCACTCACCACCACTCACCACCACTCACCACTCACCACCACTAGACTCACCACTAGACTCACCACTCACCACCACTCACCACCACTCACCACCACTCACCACTCACCACCACTCACCAATACACTCACCACTCACCACCACTCACCACCACTCACCACCACTCACCACTACACTCACCACTCACCACCACTCACCACCACTCACCACTCACCACCACTCACCACCACTCACCACCACTCACCACTCACCACCACTCACCACCACTCATCACTACACTCACCACTCACCACCACTCACCACCACTCACCACCACTCACCACTCACCACCACTCACCACCACTCACCAACACTCACCACCACTCACCACCACTCACCACCACTACACTCACCACTCACCACCACTCACTCACCACTCACCACCACTCACCACCACTCACCACTCACCACCACTCACCACTCACCACCACTCACCACCACTCACCACCACTAGACTCACCACTCACCACCACTCACCACCACTCACTCACCACTCACCACCACTCACCACCACTACACTCACCACTCACCACCACTCACCACCACTCACCACTCACCACCACTCACCACCACTCACCACCACTCACCACCACTAGACTCACCACTCACCACCACTCACCACCACTCACCACCACTCACTCACCACTCACCACCACTCACCACCACTACACTCACCACTCACCACCACTCACCACCACTCACCACTCACCACCACTCACCACCACTCACCACCACTCACCACTCACCACCACTCACCACTCACCACCACTCACCACCACTCACCGCCACTCACCACCACTCACCACCACTCACCACTACACTCACCACTCACCACCACTCACCACCACACACCACTCACCACCACTCACCACTCACCACTACACTCACCACCACTCACCACTACACTCACCACCACTCACCACCACTACACTCACCACCACTCACCACCACTCACCACTAGACTCACCACTCACCACCACTACACTCACCACTCACCACCACTCACCACCACTCACCGCACTGCGTGCCACAGATGGAGTCACGGGGCTTGGTCCTGGTCCAGACGAAGGAGGTGGCCATGAGGAGCGAGGACGCTGAGCGTGTGTTCAGGGAGCGTGCCGCTCACCTCACCCCTCACCTGCAGAAGGGTGAGCTCACCACACCACTCACCTACAGAAGGGTGAGCTCACCACACCACTCACCTGCAGAAGGGTGAGCCCACCACACCACTCACCCACACACCACTCACCCACACACCACTCACCTACACACCACTCACCCACACACCACTCACCTACACACCACTCACCCACACACCACTCACCTACACACCACTCACCATCACACCACTCACCTACACACCACTCACCTACACACCACTCACCTACACACCACTCACCTACACACCACTCACCTACACACCACTCACCTACACACCACTCACCTACACACCACTCACCCACACACCACACCACTCACCTACACACCACTCACCATCACACCACACCACACCACTCACCCACACACCACTCACCTACACACCACTCACCTACACACCACTCACCTACACACCACTCACCTACACACCACTCACCCACACACCACTCGCCTACACACCACTCACCTACACACCACTCACCCACACACCACTCACCTACACACCACTCACCATCACACAACTCACCTACACACCACTCACCTACACACCACTCACCTACACACCACTCACCCACACCCCACTCACCTACACACCACTCACCATCACACCACTCACCTACACACCACTCACCTACACACCACTCACCCACACACCACTCACCAGACACCACTCACCCACACACCACTCACCTACACACCACTCACCTACACACCACTCACCCACACACCACTCACCTACACACCACTCACCTACACACCACTCACCCACACACCACTCACCTACACACCACTCACCTACACACCACTCACCTACACACCACTCACCATCACACCACTCACCCACACACCACTCACCATCACACCACACCACTCACCTACACACCACTCACCTACACACCACTCACCTACACACCACTCACCTACACACCACTCACCTACACACCACTCACCTACACACCACTCACCCACACACCACTCACCTACACACCACTCACCTACACACCACTCACCACTCACCTACACACCACTCACCATCACACCACTCACCTACACACCACTCACCTACACACCACTCACCACTCACCTACACACCACTCACCATCACACCACTCACCTACACACCACTCACCCACACACCACTCACCTACACACCACTCACCTACACACCACTCACCTACCCACCACTCACCTACACACCACTCACCTACACACCACTCACCTACCCACCACTCACCTACACACCACTCACCTACACACCACTCACCATCACACCACTCACCTACACACCACACCACTCACCTACACACCACTCACCTACACACCACTCACCATCACACCACTCACCCACACACCACTCACCATCACACCACACCACTCACCTACACACCACTCACCTACACACCACTCACCTACACACCACTCACCTACACACCACTCACCTACACACCACTCACCTACACACCACTCACCTACACACCACTCACCACTCACCTACACACCACTCACCATCACACCACTCACCTACACACCACTCACCTACACACCACTCACCACTCACCTACACACCACTCACCATCACACCACTCACCTACACACCACTCACCCACACACCACTCACCTACACACCACTCACCTACACACCACTCACCTACCCACCACTCACCTACACACCACTCACCTACACACCACTCACCCACACACCACTCACCTACACACCACTCACCCACACACCACTCACCTACACACCACTCACCTACACACCACTCACCTACACACCACTCACTCACACCCACTCACCATCACACCACTCACCATCACACCACTCACCTACACACCACTCACCCACACACCACTCACCTACACTCCACTCACCTACACACCACTCACCAACACACCACTCACCTACACACCACTCACCTACACACCACTCACCCACACACCACTCACCTACACACCACTCACCTACACACCACTCACCTACACACCACTCACCTACACACCACTCACCATCACACCACTCACCCACACACCACTCACCTACACACCACTCACCTACACACCACTCACCCACACACCACTCACCTACACACCACTCACCATCACACCACTCACCCACACACCACTCACCATCACACCACTCACCTACACACCACTCACCTACACACCACTCACCTACACACCACTCACCCACACACCACTCACCATCACACCACTCACCCACACACCACTCACCTACACACCACTCACCCACACACCACTCACCTACACACCACTCACCCACACATCACTCACACCTCCTTATCCATCTCCTCGTCCACCCCCTCCTCATCCACCACGGTAATGATGGTAATGATGATGGTGATGATGGTGATGGTGACGTTGATGATGGTAATGATGATGGTGATTATGGTGTTGTCACATCACGTTGGTGATGATAATGATGTCACAGTGATGATGTCACGGTGCTGATGTTACAATGATGATGATGTTGACGATGATGATGGTGATGATGTTGATGGTGATGATGATGATGATGGTGGTGGTGATGATGATGATGGTGATGATGGTGATGGTGACAATGATGATGGTGGTGGTGGTGATGATGATGGTGATGATGGTGACGATGATGATGGTGGTGATGATGATGGTGATGATGGTGATGTCACATCACGGTGGTGATGATGATGATGTCACAGTGATGATGTCACGGTGATGATGTTACAATGATGATGATGGTGATGGTGACGATGATGGTGATGATGTTGGTGGTGATGATGATGGTGACTATGGTGATGGTAATGATGGTTATGGTGACGGTGATGATGGTGGTGATGGTGATGATGATGGTGATGATGGTGGTGGTGATGATGATGGTGATGATGGTGGTGGTGATGATGATGGTGTTGGTGATGATGATGATGGTGTTGGTGATGATGATGATGGTGATGATGGTGGTGATGATGATGGTGATTTTGACGATGATGATGGTGATGATGATAATGGTGACGATGATGATGGTGATGATGGTGGTGATGGTGATGATGATGGTGACGATGATGGTGATGATGGTGGTGATGGTGATGATGATGGTAGTGGTGATGGTGGTGATGGTGATGATGGTGGTGATGGTGATGATGGTAGTGGTGATGTTGGTGATGGTGATGATTGGGACGATGGTGATGGTAGTGATGATGGTGATGATGATGGTGATGATGATGATGGTGGTGATGGTGATGATGGTGGTGATGATGATGGTGATGGTAGTGATGGTGACGATGATGGTGATGATGATGATGATGTCACACCAGGCCCTGTGATTGGCCTGGAGCTGAATGGGGATGGAGCTGTGGAGAGCACGAACAGCGTCGTGCGGACACTCTTCACTCCCGCCACTCCGGTAATACTCACACACTCAGTGACACTCACAGTGTGACACACACACACAGTGTGACACTCACACAGTGTGACACTCTTCACTCCCGCCACTCCGGTAATACTCACACACTCAGTGACACTCACAGTGTGACACACACACACAGTGTGACACTCACACAGTGTGACACTCTTCACTCCCGCCACTCCGGTAATACTCACACACACACACACAGTGACACACACACAGTGTGACACTCACACACACACAGTGACACACTCAGTGACACTCACACACAGTGACACACACACACAGTGACACTCACACAGTGTGACACTCACACACACAGTGACACTCACACACACACAGTGTGACACACACACACACACAGTGACACTCACACACACACAGTGTGACACACACACAGTGTGACACACACACAGTGTGACACACACACAGTGTGACACACACACAGTGTGACACACACACACATACAGTGTGGCACACACTCACACACAGTGACACTCACACACACACACAGTGACACTCACACACACACAGTGACACTCACACACAGTGACACTCACACACGCACAGTGTGACACACACTCACACACAGTGACACTCACACACACAGTGACACTCACACAGTGTGACACTCTTCACTCCCGCCACTCCGGTAATACTCACACACACACACAGTGACACTCACACACACAGTGTGACACACACAGTGTGACACTCACACAACAACAACAACAACAACCGCCATTCGCCACTAAGTGGCGGTGACGTCACCACGACGCTTGTGCCAGGCTATGTGCACCCTGAGGCCACGTGAAGTATCGAACGCCCGCTGGCAGGAGGTCACGGGGCAGACCCAGGTGCCACGGGTCGACTGACTGAGATGACTGGCTGATGCACCACCTGTGCCCCCTACTGTGCCAACCTGCTGTGCTTTAGCCACCCGGCGCTCCGCTCGCTGTTGTGAGCGTCGCTCCTCCGCCCTCCGTTGTTGTTGGAGGGCGACTGCCTCCAACTGCCCAGTAGCATCCTTCACGAGCCTCCTCCACAGAGGCCGATCTTGACACCGCTGGTACCAGTCATCGGCAAGTCCACTCAGCTCCACGTCCTCCTGTACCACATCACTCCATCTCTTCTCTAGCCCGTGCCGCGCCCGCTTAGCCCCCTCAATCCGGCCAAACAAAAGCTGTTTCGGCATGCGGTGGCTGGGCATGCGGGCTACATGACCCAGCCATCGCAGCCTTGCCTGCCGGAGGAGCTCACCGATGGGACCCTGCCCAGATCTTTCAAGGATTTGTGAGCTCCTCACACAATCCAGTCTGGTTAAACCGAGGATGGATCGGAGGCAGGCCAGCCTAAATGTTTCTAACCGGCGAAGATGTTCCATTAGGGGGGTCCACGTTTCGCAAGCGTAGAGAAGGGAGGGAATGACCGTGGCCGAGAAGACCTGAAGCTTAGTGCGGAGCGACAGACCAGGTAGCTTCCACACAGCGTTACGCAACCGATGAAAAGATATTGCCGCTCGACTGATTCGGAGTGAGACCTCTGCTGTTAAACTGGAGCCAGTCATAAGCACACTGCCCAGGTATGGGAAACTCTCCACTCTCTCCACAACTGCCCCATCACCGATTGGGAGTTGTGGGGGTGGAGTGTCCGATGGTACAAAATACCCAGGCAGGTGCTTAGTTTTGGTGGGGCTGATGGTAAGGCCCCACCTCTTAGTGGCACGCTCCAGTCTCAGCAGCAGCGTCTCCAACTCCTCCTCTGACTGAGCAGCTATTACCAAGTCATCAGCATACATAACGTGGTTGAGCAATAGGGAGCCATCCCTTGACCGCACCCGGGCATCGATTAGCCTCCCATTATATCTGTACCATATGGAGATTCCCCCGGTACAGCTATTGAAGGCTTCACGAACTACGTGGTCAAAATAGATGTTAAATAATGTGGGAGCCAGAGGACATCCCTGTCGCACCCCAAGGTGTACAGGGAATGGCTCTGACTCCCGGCCACGTAGTTTTACCCGGGCCCGCTCACCATCATGAAGGTCCTTAATGATCGTGAGCAGAGGGTCAGGTACTCCAAAAGCACGAAGAACGACCCAGAGCCCAGGCCTACTGATGGTATCATAGGCCTTGACCAGGTCAATAAAGCAGAGATGTAGGTCTTGTTGGAATTCCCTACACCTCTGCTGTAGCAGACGGACAGAAAATATGGCATCTGTGCAGGACCGCCCTTTCCTGAAACCGCATTGCGGACACTCACACACACACAGTGTGACACACACTCACACACAGTGACACACACGCACACACACACAGTGACACACACACAGTGACACACACTCAGTGTGACACACACAGTGACACTCACACAGACTCACACACAGTGTGACACTCACACACACACAGTAACACTCACACACACGGTGTGACACACACACAGTGTGACACACACAGTGACACTCACACACACAGTGTGACACACACAGTGTGACACTCACACACACTCACACACAGTGTGACACTCACACACACACACTGACACTCACACACACACAATGACACTCACACACACACAGTGACACTCACACACACGGTGTGACACACACAGTGTGACACACTCATAGTGTGACACACACACACAGTGTGACACACACACAGTGTGACACACTCACAGTGTGACACTCACACACACACAGTGTGACACACACACAGTGTGACACACACTCACACACAGTGACACTCACACACACACACAGTGACACTCACACACACACACAGTGACACTCACACACACAGTGTGACACACACACAGTGTGACACACACACAGTGTGACACACACACAAACAGTGACACACACACACAGTGTAACACACACACACAGTGACACTCACACACAACAACCGCCATTCACCACTAAGTGGCGGTGACGTCACCACGACGCTTGTGCCAGGCTATGTGCACCTTGAGGCCACGTGGAGTGTCGAACGCCCGCTGGCAGGAGGTCACGGGGCAGACCCAGGTGCCACGGGTCGACTGACTGAGATGACTGGCTGATGCACCACCTGTGCCCCCTACTGTGCCAACCTGCTGTGCTTTAGCCACCCGGCGCTCCGCTCGTTGTTGTGAGCGTCGCTCCTCCGCCCTCCGTTGTTGTTGGAGGGCGACTACCTCCAACTGCCCAGTAGCGTCCTTCACGAGCCTCCTCCACAGAGGCCGATCTTGACACCGCTGGTACCAGTCATCGGCAAGTCCACTCAGCTCCACGTCCTCCTGTACCACATCACTCCATCTCTTCTCTAGCCCGTGCCGCCCCCGTTTAGCCCCCTCGATCCGGCCGAACAAAAGCTGTTTTAGCATGCGGTGGCTGGGCATGCGGGCTACATGACCCAGCCAACGCAGCCTTGCCTGCCAGAGGAGCTCACCGATGGGACCTTGCCCAGATCTTTCAAGGATTTGTGAGCTCCTCACACAATTCAGCCTGGTTAAACCCAGGATGGATCGTAGGCAGGCCAGCCTAAATGTTTTCCACCGGCGAAGATGCTCCATTAAGGGGGTCCACGTTTCGCAAGCGTAGAGAAGGGAGGGAATTACCGTGGCCGAGAAGACCTGAAGCTTAGTGCGGAGCGACAGACCAGGTAGCTTCCACACAGCGTTACGCAACCGATGAAAAGATATCGCCGCTCGACTGATTCGGAGCGAGACCTCTGCTGTTAAACTGGAGCCGGTCATAAGCGCACTGCCCAGGTATGGGAAACTCTCCACTCTCTCCACAACTGCCCCATCACCGATTGGGAGTTGTGGGGGTGGAGTGTCCGATGGTACAAAATACCCAGGCAGGTGCTTTGTTTTGGTGGGGCTGATGGTAAGGCCCCACCTCTTAGTGGCACGCTCCAGTCTCAGCAGCAGCGTCTCCAACTCCTCCTCTGAATGAGCAGCTATTACCAAATCATTGGCATACATAACGTGGTTGAGCAATAGGGAGCCATACCTTGACCGTACCCGGGCATCTATCAGCCTCCCATTATATCTGTACCAAATGGAGATTCCCCCGGTACAGCTATCGAAGGCTTCATGAACTACGTGGTCAAAATAGATGTTAAATAATGTGGGAGCCAGAGGATATCCCTGTCGCACCCCAAGTTGTACAGCGAATGGCTCTGACTCCCGGCCACGTAGTTTACCCGGGGCCGCTCAACACCATGCAGGTCCTTGATGATCGTGAGCAGAGGGTCAGGGACTCCAAAAGCACGAAGAACAACCCAGAGCCCAGGCCTACTGATGGTATCATAGGCCTTGACCAGGTCAATAAAGCAGAGATGTAGGTCTTTTTGGAATTCCCTATACCCCTGCTGTAGCAGACGGACAGAAAATATGGCATCCGTGCAGGACCGCCCTTTCCTGAAACCGCGATGATGAAATTCTCGCTTGCAACTTTCATCAGCTAACTGAGACCAGGCCACTTTAGGTTGGAATGGGGTCCTGGGTGTACACCCACCACCGGATTAGAAGAATGGCAGGCGCATCTTACAGATGACTAGTCGATGGTCAGAGGGCAGGTCAACTCCACGGTAGGTCCTGGTGTCAAGGACATGGGCTCGCATCCGCTGGTCCGTCACTATGTAGTCCAGCAGATGTTCTTGCTGAGACCCGGCATGCATCCATGATGTTGTGTGGATGCGCCGATGCCGGAACAGCGTGTTGGTAATTACAAGCCCATGGGCTGCACAAAAATCTAGCAGCCTCCTACTGTTGTTATTGAGCTGATCTGGCCCATGCCCTCCAGTCACTCCAGACCAGGTGTCAGCATCATGACCAACTCGGGCATTGATGTCACCCAACATGATGACTCTATCCCGAGGGGCCACTTTAGCCAGCACCTGTGACAGGAGGTCATAGAAGGCATCTGACTCATCGGCTTTGCCTGCATCCCTCCACGGATGTTCGTCTTCGGTGGGGGCATAGGTAACCACGACCACCACTCCTCGCCTCTGGTTGATGGGAAGGCGAGCCCAAAGTAGCCTGGGGCTTACAGCTTCCCACACCTCACTGCCACGCTCCCACGCCCCCTTCATTCTTTTGTTCAGAAGAAGAGCCACACCCTGTTGTTTGGCAGTCTCCTGCCCCGAGTAGAGGACTGTCCACCCCTCATGGTGGCAGGAGCCAGAACCGGTCCACCGGACCTCCTGATTGCCACAGAGATCCAGGCGGTACCGGTCCAGCTCCCAGCAGAGGAGTGGCAGCCTCTCCTCCACAGTGAGCGTTCGAACATTCCACGTGGCCACATGAAGTTGCTTTTCGTTGTTTCTGGAGGAGCCCTGAGGGTAAAGATTCAATCTCCTGGCTCCGCCAATTGGGGTTTGGCCAGGAGACGTCATAGACGCCTGTCCCCCCGGGGCCTCCGGCACAAGCTTATTAGTTAGATATTTAAGTCGTGGTTTAGTGGTAATTAATTGAAGGTGGAGGGGTTACCAGCCCCTCGCACCCGTCCAGAGCCCCTGTTTAGCCACTGTGGTGGACACAGACGCCATGAAGGGGAGAGGGCCAATCGGAATTGGCCCTCCCCCCACAGCACTGTCCACGACAGAGTTGCTCGTCCGGCACTGTGAGGAGGTAGGGGGTTGTTTTGCCGGACACACTGACACACACACACGCTGACACATACACACGCTGACACACACACACGCTGACACACACACACGCTGACACACACACACACTGATGCAGACACACAGACACACACTGACATATACACTGACACACACACTGACAGACACAGTGACACACACATACACACACTGACACACAGACACACACACACAAACTAAAGATCCCCCATATAGCCTTAACAGACTGTAGGGGCAAGTGCTGTTAGCGAGCACCTATGAAGGCCGGAACGGTACACGAGAGGGTGGGTGGCCAGCACCACGCCCGACCGCCTTTGTCTCCCTAGTGGCAATGTTTACACACCGCACCAGGTACTCATTTCAGGCTGAGTCGACCTAGGGGAGGTCCGGGACCGGTTCAGATAATCGTCACTGGTGTTGGCCGTGAGCGGGAATCAAACCCGGGTCGCCAGGTTCATCGCGCAGCGTAGCGCTAACCACTACGCTACCGCTCCCCACCCCGTGTCTCCCTGTCTACCCCAGGTGTTTGTCTCCGCGAGTGTGGACACGGCCTCCCAGGATGTTGACTCATTCTACAACTTTGCGGACATGCAGATGTCGGGCTGAGACGGCGGCGTGGACAGCAAACAGAGGCCGGCCCCTCTCAGACAGCCGGACAGGACAAGAGAGGAGACAACTCCCTGTCTCTGTGTCTCTGTCTCTAAATATGCGTCTATAAATCCGTCTCTAAATCTGTGTCTCTGTCTCTCTGTCTCTCTGTCTGTCTCTCTGTCTCATTGTTTGTCTCTCCCTCTGTCTCTCTGTCTCTCTCTGTCTCTCTCTCTGCCTCTCTCTCTGTCTCTGTCTCTCTGTCTCATTGTTTGTCTCTCCCTCTGTCTCTCTCTCTCTGTCTCTAAATCTGTCTCTGTCTCTCTCTCTCTGTCTCTCTGTCTCTAAATATGCGTCTATAAATCTGTCTCTCTCTGTCTCTCCCTCTCTCTGTCTCTGTCTCATTGTTTGTCTCTCCCTCTGTCTCTCTGTCTCTCTCTCTCTCTCTGTATCTAAATCTGTCTGTCTCTCTGTCTCTGTCTCTAAATCTGTCTCTCTCTGTCTCTCTGTCTCTGTGTCTCTCTCTCTGTCTCATTGTTTGTCTCTCCCTCTGTCTCTCTGTCTCTCTCTCTCTCTCTGTATCTAAATCTGTCTCTCTCTGTCTCTCTGTCTCTGTCCCGTCTGCCGCCGCCGCCGTCCAGTGTCCCACTTGGGTTGGTGTCCTTCGGCACAAGTTTTGCGTCTCGCCAAAGTTTTTATCGCCCGTCCCCGCACCCCCCCCAATAGATGGGACCAATTTCGAGATGCGCGACAGCACCGCGTTTATAGATTTGACCGGATATTTGATAGGAATCGGCCGTGGTTTGTCGTAGTAGTTGTTGTCGCAGTGTTGTTGTCGTCGTGGATATTTTTTAAAGATGCTTGCTTGCAACACGCACAGCTGTTTGCCTGTTTGTGCCGGGGCCACAAGTGTGGAGGTTCAGTTTGTGAGTCCCCTCTCCCCACTGTGGTGAGCGACGCGTTGCACTGACTTAGCCAGCAGCGCCGTCATCATCAGCAGCGCCGTCATCAGCAGCACCGTCATCAACAGCGCCGTTATCATCAGCAGCGTCGTCATCATCAGCACCGTCATCAGCAGCACCGTCATCAGCAGCACCGTCATCATCAGCAGCGCCGTCGTCATCAGCAGCGTCGTCATCAGCAGCACCGTCATCAGCAGCACCGTCATCATCAGCAGCACCGTCATCGTCAGCGTCGTCATCATCAGCAGCACCGTCATCAACAGCGCCATTATCAGCAGCGTCATCAGCAGCGTCGTCATCAGCAGCGTCGTCATCATCAGCGTCGTCATCATCAGCGCCGTCATCATCAGCGCCGTCATCATCAGCGCCGTCATCATCAGCGTCGTCATCAGCAGCGTCGTCATCAGCGCCGTCATCATCAGCGTCATCGTCAGCAGCGTCGTCGTCATCAGCACCGTCGTCATCAGCAGCGCCGTCATCATCAGCGCCGTCGTCATCAGCACCGTCGTCATCAGCAGCACCGTCATCAGCAGCGCCGTCATCAGCAGCGCCGTCATCAGCAGCGCCGTCGTCATCAGCACCGTCGTCATCAGCACCGTCATCAGCAGCGTCATCATCAGCGTCGTCGTCATCAGCGTCATCATCAGCAGCGTCGTCGTCATCAGCAGCGTCGTCATCATCAGCAGCGCCGTCATCATCATCAGCGTCGTCATCATCATCAGCGTCGTCGTCATCAGCAGCGCCGTCATCATCAGCAGCGCCGTCATCATCATCAGCGTCGTCATCATCAGCGTCGTCATCAGCAGCGTCGTCATCAGCGTCGTCGTCATCAGCGTCATCATCAGCAGCGTCGTCGTCATCAGCAGCGTCGTCATCATCAGCGTCATCAGCAGCGTCATCATCAGCGTCGTCGTCATCAGCGTCGTCATCATCAGCGTCGTCATCAGCAGCGTCGTCGTCATCAGCGTCGTCGCCGTCGTGAGTGTCAACCATCTCCTGCTGAGAGTGCCTGGGTTCAATCCCTGGGTCTGGCCGCGTCTCTCGGGATGTTCACGACGGCCGCGTCGGAGACACCGAAGCTCTGGGACCACGGCTCAATCCCTGGCTGCGGTCTCGCCGGTGGCGCTCCCTCGTGCGTGCCGAGCGCCGTTCCGGTCGGCGCTCTTCGCGCTCCGGTGTTGTCGGCCCAACGAGGATCGGCAAAACGCCCCGCGCCCCCCCCAACTCGCCACCACCACCGCTGTGGGGGGCCAACTCCGCCCCCGGTCATGTCGACCGACCGGCGTGGTGGAGCATGGCCACACTGACACGCTCACAACAACAACAAAGCGCCATTCGCCACTAAGTGGCGGTGACGTCACCACGACGCTTGTGCCAGGCCATGTGCACGTTGAGGCCACGTGAAGTGTCGAACGCCCGCTGGCAGGAGGTCACGGGGCAGACCCAGGTGCCACGGGTCGACTGACTGAGATGACTGGCTGATGCACCACCTGTGCCCCTACTGTGCCAACCTGCCGTGCTTTATACTCTTTGGTTCTATTCGGTAAAGTCACCACGTAGGTAAAAAATAAAACAACAAAAATCACGACGTTTCGGCCACAACACAAGCGGCCTTCATCAGGTGAAGGGACCAGGCTGTCTCGAGGACAGCGCTGGAGTGAAACACAGCCACGCTCAGACCGCGACCTTTAAGCTGTGTGCGAGGAAACAAGGTGCCTTGACAAAGGAATTAGCATAAAACATAGCATTTGATTGGCCGACTTAGCATAGAGGTGGTGTACATTCGGGTGAACTTGCCGGTTGGCGCGGGGGGGAGAGGGAGTTTCTCTATTGGTGGTGTGAAAAGGGAATTTGTAAGAGCTGCGAAAGTTTGGGGTACCACTACTTGAAAAATATACTGTACCATTGAAAATTAGTTTAATGTTTGGTTCGATTTAGAACATCTTTCCAATGGTTGCTTAATTTGAAACCATCTTCTCGGTTGAAATTGTGTCTGTGTTTGTAGATCCGAATTGCCTCGTGAACAAATCTCTGATAAAAACCAGTGGGTTTGCAAAGAACCTTGGTATCGGAGAAAATTATATCGTGATCACCCACAGCGTTGTAACAGTGATTTTTGTTTTATTTTTTACCTCTACGTGACTTTACCGACTAGAACCAAAGAGTATGGATCCTTGCAGTCACGAAAGCTTTTAATCTAGAACTGCTGTGCTTTAGCCACCCGGCGCTCCGCTCGTTGTTGTGAGCGTCGCTCCTCCGCCCTCTGTTGTTGTTGGAGGGCGACTGCCTCCAACTGCCCAGTAGCGTCCTTCACGAGCCTCCTCCACAAAGGCCGATCTTGACACCGCTGGTACCAGTCATCGGCAAGTCCACTCAGCTCCACGTCCTCCTGTACCACATCACTCCATCTCTTCTCTAGCCCGTGCCGTGCCCGTTTAGCCCCCTCGATCTGGCCGAACAAAAGCTGTTTCGGCATGCGGTGGCTGGGCATGCGGGCTACATGACCCAGCCAACGCAGCTTTGCCTGCCGGAGGAGCTCACCGATGGGACTTTGCCCAGATCTTTCAAGGATTTGTGAGCTCAAATAATCCAGACTGGTTAAATCCAGGATGGATCATAGGCAGGCCAGCCGAAATATTTCTAACCAGTGACGTAGAGAAGGGAGGGCATGACTGGCCGAGAAGACCCGAAGCTTCGTGCGGAGCGACAGACCAGGTAGCTTCCACACAGCGTTACGCAACCGATGGAAAGATAATGCCGCTTGACTGATTCGGAGTGAGACCTCTGCTGTCAAACCGGAGCCGGTCATGTGCACACTGCCCAGGTATAGGAAACTCTCCACTCTTCAAAACTGCCCCATCACCAATTGGGAGTTGTGGGGGTTGAGTGTCCGATGGTACAAAATACCCAGGCTGATGGTAAGGCCCCACCTCTTGGTGGCACGCTCCAGGTTCTGCAGCAGCGCCTTCAATTCCTTCTCTGAATGAGCAGCGATTACCAAATCATCGGCATACATAACGTGGTTGACCAATAGGGAGCCATCCCTTGACGGCAACCGAGCATCGATCAGCCTCATTGTATCTGTATCAAATGGAGATTCCCCCGGTACAGCTATTGAAGGCTTCACGAACTACGTAGTCAAAATAGATGTTAAATAATGTGGGAGCCAGAGGACATCCCTGTCGCACCCCAAGGTGAACAGGGAATGGCTCTGACTCCCGGCCACATAGTTTTACCCGGGCCCGCTCGCCATCATGAAGGTCCTTAATGATCGTGAGCAGAGGGTCAGGGACTCCGAAAGCACGAAGAACACCCCAGAGCCCAGGCCTACTGATGGTATCATAGGCCTTGACCAGGTCAATAAAGCAGAGATGTAGATCCTGTTGCAATTCCCTACACCTCTGCTGTAGCAGACGGACAAAATATGGCATCTGTGCAGGACCGCCCTTTCCTGAAACCGTATTGGAGCTCCGCAAGCCTCTCCTCAGCGTGCCTGGCAAGGCGATGCTGAATAATCCTTGCCAGGACCTTTCCCGGCACACTGAGGCGTTAGATGCCCCTGTAGTTGTTACAGTCTGTGCGGTCCCCCTTCTTAAAGAGAGGGACAACCAGGGAATCCTTCCAATCCTGCGGAACCCGTCCAGTGGTCCAGACTGTTGTTATGATGTCATCTAGGGCTGTCTGTGCACAAACGCCACCCTCCCTCAGCATTTCGCTTGGGAGATCATCTCTACCCGGTGCCTTTCCTTGTCTCAGACTCTGGATCGCCTTCAGTATTTCCTCAATAGATGGCACCTCGGCTAGCCACTCACAGGAGGTGACTTCTTCCAATATTAGAGGCACAGCAGCCTCAGCAGGGTCATCCTCTCTGCCCCATGATGTTTTCCTGGCTGAGGGATTTCCCCTCCCCCAGGACCTCAGAAATGCTCAGCAAATCTGCAAACCTGTTCCTGGGGGTCGGAGATTGGATCACCGTTTTTTCCCCTAATGATGGTAATAGGTATGGTGCTGCAGATTACTTTTTTGATGGAGTTAAATAGGGATTTGTGATCGCGGGCCATTGAGGCAGATTCCATCTCCTCAGCAACCCGCGACCATTACCCATCCTTGCAGCGCCTCACGGCTCTCCGAACCTTCGAGCGAAGGCTGCGGTAAGCCTCATTTTCTGACGTGGGATACTTTAGCCGATGAGAGTGGGCCTGTCGCTTTTTCTCAGCCAGCCTGAACACCTCCTCTGTCAGC